TGAAAATGCCCTAAATCGACAGGCGACCGCTAAGTATTTGGTCAAAGATATGGATAGCACGAGTTCATTGTGTAAAGGGCTAGAAGAAAGTAAGACAGTCGGTCATGTAAGCCAAGGTTGGTTAAACTATTTTCTTGATGTTTCGTCTTCAGCACATACGAACTGCTAGTTAATTCTGCCGTGATGACGGTTTCGCAAAATGTGATCGAAACCTTTTTCATAAATCGAAATTCTTGTTACATTACGGTTGGCCCTCCTTCTTCCGGTAGTGCTAGCCTTAGCTGTAAAAGTGTGCAAGGGGAATAGACTGACAGGTTGGCAGCATGCAGGCTAATAATGTAGTTGACCGCATACACGGCCAATTTTGTGAATTCTAGCTCTGCCAAATGTCCTCAGTTCTCAAGGAATGGATGAACTGTGAAGGTTGCCTGCAATCAGTGAAAAGCCACCAACGTCACCAGCAGAGTATGGCGACATCCGTTTCGTCAAACGACTGCGGATCCATACAACGGCAGGACAAGTTTTTAAATGTCACGGAACAATTTCTACATGGGTCCCTAAAAATTTCGATCCAAATATAACTACTCATATCAGAAGGCGGTGGTGACTTATTTGGTGTTGGGTTTTTCCCCAAACACACCCAAGCCGCACGTTATAAAAATAGCATTCAGTATGTTTTGAAGAATGCCAGATTGGGTCCTTCAGAACAATGCCCCACTTTCAAAATCCACCCCTAGCATTAGTGTATGTGTTCATTATAGGGGCATGGGGGTAGACTTGGGGCTTTCGCGGCGTGAGAGACCGTCAGAGACTAAGCATTGTATATAAGCGTTATTTTTGGCTGAAAAGGGAAATAAGGATAGTTGATCTATCAATAGCGTCGGCACAGAGGAAATACACAAGCAACTATATGTAAGACTAATAGTTCGTTACATACGCACATGGACATAAAGCACAGTTTTTCTTCGCACTTTGTTAGTAGAATCAGGCATAAGTATTTGACTACGAATTGATGCATAATACAGGCAGAAAGAGCCAAAAACACGACAGACTCGCACTTTTTTCGAAAACTAGCAAGATATGCAAAATATGTATTTAGTTCGGAAATGATGGCACAGTAAAGTGTGCCACGTCAAGAGCACTGACTCCATGAAACTTATTGCTGCCCATGAACACCAAGCGTATGCTTCAAAATGTTGGTGACCAAGTTTAACAATTTTGTTAGTCATTTTACAACAAGACTGTCAATCTATGCTTTTGGGGGTGAATATAAATTAAGCATTACCGAAACGGTGCGACGTTAGCTGACAAGTGTGATAATAGTTGTGAAAACTCACACAACAAAACCCTGGGCGCCGGCACCAATGGGTCTTAGACCAGAATAGCGCTTGGGGATGACAAACTGCGAATCACCAACAACCTCCACATGAAAATTATCCGGGATGCGCTGAGCGCACGGGGCCGGCTCCGTGTGCACGTCCATAACAGGAGAAAGGATCCTACCAATCCGAACTCACAAAGCAATTCAGCGACTGCGCCGTTGTGCACTCCAAGTCAAATTGGGCTCTTCGTAAAGAGTGTATATTATCATTAACCTGATCTACAGACCTAGTGTCTCAGATGATGGAAGAATATTATATCCACAGGAACAAAAAATTTAATGCCGGTGCTGTGATGACTAACGTGAACTGAAACCAAGGCCGCACACTACAAATCATATTTGGTGATTTATGGAAGTTTAGACTCCGGTTTACGAGGTTCTGTACATGTCCTAGTCCTGTCTTCACCTTTCATTTCACAACTGAACTTCCCTGTACTCCTGTTCGAATGTGGTTAAATAAGTGTAACAACCAACTTTAAACTTTCTTATACGCCTGGACTTTGTACCGCAACCAACAGTCTCCAGTTATCCCGAAGCCGATCGAGCTAGCGCTGTCGTCCCAGTCACGTGAGCGACGGTATCAAACGCAGTGATATTACCGTCGTACCTATGGTTCAAAGGCATCCAGGCGTATTTCACCGTGCACTTCCAAGCAACCCTCGCAACCGCTAAACTATCAAGCCAGCCAGTAATGACGAGGACTGCGGCTGGCCAGTCGGTGTCCACTCGCCTCTTTTACATTACCGACAAGTCGATCGATCTCCATTTTCTCGTCGGTACCAGTGCTGAGGTCAGTGTCCTCCCCCCACCTAGGCATCAAAGTCTCAAGCCTTCGGAGTTTCCATTGCAGGTTGCTAATAGCACTGTCCCAACACCTACGGATAGCGCTCCCTCACGTCTCAGGAGACGTTTTCGGTTGGTCTGAGTGCAGGCTGACGTTCAATCGCCCATTATCGAGGCAGATTTCGTGACACACTTTGACCTCGCAGTCAACGTGAAGCATCGCAAGCTTGTCGATATCTCAACCAAGATTTTATAGTTGATACTGCTGCTTCTGAACCTTCGTCAGGTATCCACATTGCCGTTCCATGCTCGTCCTTCGTTGACATTTTCTAGGACTACTCGTCCCTCACTAGGCCTTGTCACTTCGCCGGGGGAGTTCAGCATGCGGTCAAACACCACATCATTACCACAGGACAATCCTTTTTCGCTCACACGCGACGCCTTCACTCCGAAAAGCTTTTGGTGGCGAGGAACGAAGTTGTGCATATGATAAATTTCGTGACTATTTGTCCTTATTCCAGACCGTGGGCGTCTCCTCTCCACTCGGTACCTAAGAAATCGGCTGATAATTGGAGACCTTGTGGCGATTATGGTGCAGTTAGTACAGCTACCGTTTCTGATCGGTATCATTTTCCTCATATACATGATTCCTCCCACATACTGGCAGAAAAAACTATTTTTTTCAGACGAGGCCTCGTAAACGTATACTACCATATACCGATCGCGGAAGAGGACATCCCAAAGACTCTTAATACGACGCTTTTGAGCTGTCCGAATTCCTTCTTATGCCTTTTCATTTACGCAACGGGACTCAATCATTCCAGCTTTTTATCGATGAGGTCTTTCGAGGTCCGTCATTTGCGGTGTTTTAACATCAACTGTGAGGAGACTCTGACACCCCTAAGTGATCTTTTTAAGTCGAAGGCAAAGCCGATCAAACTCCTAACGGCAGCCCATTCAGCTTTTAAGGTAGCCAAAAAAGTCCTTGCCGAAGACACCATGCTGTAACATTTCAGCTCCGGTGCTCGTGCACAGTTGGTTTTGATCATTGACGCTTCCAACAGTGCTGTCAGCGCAGTCTTACATCGGCAGGTGAATAACCGGTTGCATCTGTTGGCTTTATTTTCACAAAAGCTACAACCGGAGCGGACTCACTAATGCACTTTCTTTCGTGAGCTTCTTGCCATCTACTTGGACATACGTCAGTTTCGCTGCCTCTTAGAGAACGGACATTTTCGGGTTCATACCGACCACAAACCTCTTACTTACGCCCTCGAGTTCAATACAGATCGGTACTTGGCCAGATAAGTTCGTCATCTGGGCTATATTTCGCAGTTTACCGCAGACATCCGTTACGTCCGAATCAGCGAGAATGTCGCTGCTGATGAATTATCTAGACCGCGAATTAACAACCTAACCTCCATTTTCGACCCGGCTGTGCTTGTAGAACTCCAGTTAGAAGACACGTGTATCGCTGACCTGCGTACGTCTACTGCTCTGCAACTTCGAGATGCACCACTCCCCGGCACGATTTTGTGCGAGTGGTCCATAGGTACTCCTCGGCCTCTTGTTTCACCATCTTACGCAAGGTGATGTTTGATCACTTCCGTCCCCTCTCGCATTCCGGCATCCTCGCTTGTCGTAAGCTAATCGCCGCCCGTTTTATCTGGCCGAAAATGAACTTTGCCATTGCTTTTCGGACTAGGCAGTGTATCGCCTGCCAGAAAAACAATGTCTGCCGCCACACATTTTCTCCACCAAGTATATTTGCCGTTTCTGATGTTCGTTTCCACCATGTCCACTTGAACTTATTTTGTTCGCTACCCCTTTCACGTAGGTAATCTCATATTCTGATGGCGGCTGACCGTTTAATACAATGGCCGATTGCCGTTCCTTCATCGGATACCTTAACAGAAAGTGTTGCTAGGGTATTCCTGAACCGGCCTAGTATCCATGGGCAGCTGGACGAAATTAATCGAAATATATTTATCAGTCGGCGCCGTGTGTATTGACTTCAAAAAGGCTTTTGGTAAGGTTCCACACAGGCGCCTTATATTTAAACTACGTCAAAATTGCGTGAATGGAAATCAGCTGAAATGCTTAGCCGACTTTCTTACTGGCAGATCTCAGCGTGTGTGTATAGGTAACGCTAAATTGGAATAAGCATCCGTACACCATGGCTTTCCGCGTGAGAGCGTTCTGGGCCCAATCCTGGGTATGATACCAGTGTCGCAAAACTCCGATTTGCTGCGAATAGGACTGTTTCGAAATTAAAAATAAACGCTCGCTGATTTAAGTAGGCATGTTTTTTTTAATTCTTTGCCTCCACTGCTTTTCCCGTCGAGTGTGCGTTCGTCTTGTCTTTTAAGATATTGCTCGTGCTAGTGAGCGATACCATAAATTACCGCAATTTCTGTTATTATTACCGGTTGCAGAGACGGCTACAGCATTAGTTATCTATTTACTGTATTGTAATTCACTTTCTGTCGTCACGATTTATCTAATTATTAGCAGCTGTACAGCCATTGGTTCTACTGCTACTAAATAAATAAATAAATAAACTTTTATTTAATGCCAGTTTACAGGCATTGTCAAGGGGAGCGATTAAACATAAATCCGACCGGCAGTGAAAAAAACTCCTGATCTTAAGGGATAAAAATATAGTTGATGTTTTACATCAGTCAGTGTTACCCATACCATAACAGTTGGTGGAGTGGTATTGGTTGTAGTGGTAGTGTCCGTACTAATAGTGGTAGCAGTATTCGCAACAGTAGTGGCAGTAGTAGCAGTTGCTGATAGAAACGCAGTACTTCAGTACGGCCGACGAATGATCCGAATGCTCCTTCAAGACTGCCACTCACGGATTCGCAAATACCGTCAGAGGATTGACCTGGAGAAAGCAAGGCGCTGCGAGTTCATGGGCGAGGACGGCACAAAACTGCATCAACAGAGGTTGGCCGAACTAACACGCGAACAGAAAGCAACAGTCGAAGCAGCCATAGAGAGCAAATTTCGTAAGCTGCCTGCTCCAATGTCATCCAAGAACGACAAACTGGTGCAAAACTTGTCGCTAAAGGAACTGACGGAGAAAGAAATGCAAGTATTACGGCACGAGGCCTCATTCAACACAGCCGATGCCAAGCCTGCCAGTACGGTCGCAGCAGTGGAATCCATCCTCAGTCAGACGGGAGAGACAGACAAAACGAAGAACCTCATTCGACACCAGGTGTCCTCCCTCCTCATGGCTCATAGACCGCGCGACGTGCTTTCCAAGGTAGAGCGCGATGCACTTAAGGAACTCAGGGCCGAGAACGACCAAGTTATCGTGCCTGCGGTCAACGGGCGTCCAACGGTCGTATTAGACGGCACAGAGTACAGTCAAAAGGTCAAAAGCTTGTTTGAGGATTGTCAGTCCTATGTCTCATGCGAATAAAACCCCAAAAAACGCTGACACGCGAAATTAATGCAACACAGTTGGCAATAGAAAAACTCCGGTGCAATAACGTCAATCGACGCATGGCGAGAGCACAAGAAAAGGCCTTAGCCCGATTCTACGGTCTCCCAAAAGTGCACAAAGAGGGCGCTCCTCTCCGGCCCATCGTATCAATAATGGGCACTCCAACCTGCGGAATGGCAAAGTGGCTGCTGTGACGTCTCAGGTTTCTGACCTCCGATTCGAACACCAAAGTCAGATTGTCAACGCAATTCTTGGAGTAACTTAAAGGAGTAAGTCCCCTGCCAAGCGATGTCATGGTTTCCTCTGATGTCACGTCCCTTTTTACTTCTATCCCGCAGGACCTGGCAGTCGAGACCATCGAACTACTCCTACGAGAGAAATACGACGAAACGCAGAATCGCCTCGGACACGCCCAAATCATCCAGCTCCTGAAGTTCGGCCGCAATACGTACTTCGCGCTTGGCGGAACAATCTACAAGCAGGTGAAGGGAACGCCAATGGGTTCGCCAATTTCGGGACTCATAGCCGAGGCGGTCCTTCAACGGCTGGAATCGCTGGTTTTCCGACACCACAGACCGAAGTTCTGGGCTCGATATGTTGATGACACCTTCGTCGTCATCAAAAGGAATCAGGTGCTGACATTCAAAGAACATCTCAACGCCGTCTTCCCGGACACTCAATTCACGATGGAGGAGGAGGAGAACAACCAGCTGGCCTTCTTGGATGTCCTCGTCTGCCGCAAAGATTGTGGTGGACTAAAAAACAAAGCGTTCAAGAAAGCGACAAATAAGACGCAAATATTGAACTCCAATAGCAACCACCCGATCAGTCACAAACGCAGATGCGTAAGGGCGCTATACCGGCGCTTCGAGACGCACTGCAGTGAAACGGAAGACAAGGTTGTTGAATTACTATAACTTCGACGAGTAATGAGAGCCAATGGCTACTCGCGCAACTTTGTCAACCAGTGCATACGAAAAGGACACCAGAGCCCAAATCCAACTGGCCCCACATTTTGGCGGGCTCTTCTGTACATGAAGAACGCCTCGGAAGCCGTCAGTCATCTTTTCACTCCACTTGGAGTTGGGGTTGCACACAGGCCGGAAGCAACAATTAGTCGCCAGTTCATAATGCCTAAAGATCCGGTGCCACGGCAGGAAACGTCTGGAGTCGTCACCCGAATATGGTGTATTTGCGGACAAAGCAACTATGTCGGAGAAACTGGGAAATTACTCCGTACCCGAATTGCCGAGCACGCAGCAGCAGTGAGGCGGGGAGTCGCTAACTGTCAGGTGGCGACACACTCGACAGGACTCGGCAATATTTTCCAATTTTAAGAAGCCGAAATTCTCGCAAGGGGTGATAACCACGTGAGCCGCGAGCTGCTCGAGTCATGGTGCTCAGACCCGCAATGCATCAACAAGCACAATGACCTCCCAGTACCATGTTCCGTGCTGAGACTTTCCCTGGGCAGTTACGTGGGAAGGAGGCGGGCGAACAATTATCACAGTGACAGTGAGCCAGTTTGCCGAGCAATCGTCACACCAACATCCAGCACGGATGACGAAATCAGACCGATAAGCCACCAACGCATCAATAACGACCCCAGAGGTGATCGCGAGAACTGTCAATTGCAGTGCGTATACGGTCTCACGGTAGCCACGTGCTATAAATACTACACTCCTGGTGCCACCATCACTTTTATCTGCGAATGTCTCTGATGCTAGATTCGAGTGAGAATCCGAAACGTCAAGCCAACAAATTTCTTGTTCCAATGATGGCATCTTCATCTTCGAAAGGATAGGCTTTTTGGTAGTTTACTTGCGGAGCAGAACGTCGAGAAGTAAGTCAGAAACCTGAGGGGACGTGTAGGGAGCAATAAGACATAAATGCTGGGAAAACTGGTTTTGCTGGACAATCAAAATTTGACTTCTTCTCCCTGGGGTCGTCTAAGTTCTAAACAAATTAAGATCTTCCTGAAAATTCCACACATTGTGGTCAACGTTTCTTTCTCGTCCAACCCGCTAAAATTGTGGTCAAAAATTTGAAAAAACTTCTGGGAAACTAAAATATGCATTCGCGATTTTTTCCAGATTCTGTGGATGTTATCAAGGGCAATGCTTTTGGTAAAGTTGAAAAAAAACAGTTCGATATGCACATCTTATTTTATATTTGGTGCTTAACAAGTCGCATATCGCAACCGCTATTGTAGTGTTCATATGCAGCACCATTTAGGAACTGCGCGAATGGGGGTCTCATGCCGTCGAAGCAGTGAAAAAGTCAGGCGTGTGTGCACCCACTCACTGTGCCAAACATAAGCACTATTCGGTCGATAGGTTTTTGTGACAAAAAGAGTAAAGAGACTAGGGCCTGTATGTATGTACCCTTTCTCAACGCAAGTCAGCATAGTACTCACTAAACTGAGCTGGCATATTTGGACCGGTCATGGCGGTCCAAATCTGTCGAAAAGAAAATTTTTCACTTTGGAACTCACTTGATGGCACTGGAATAAGGGACAAGTGGAGATGACTCCTTACTATGGTTTCTATTATGCTTACTTGTGCGAGCTCCCAGATAGACCCACCGAATCTTCGTGTGCGCAAGTTTAGCGATAAGTTGTTGTGTGGCACACACACACAGACGGGCTAATAAGCCGGGTAGACCACTGTCCATTAAGTAAATTTCAGCCATATCCAAAACTCGGCTCTCTGGGAAAGAATACCCCCAGAAAAAGGCAAAGAGAGCTGGCTTCTCAGTAAAAATGAAGAAGTTAAAGTCTGCCTAGGCATTGCCGTAAACTAAGATTTTAATTGGAGCAGAAAGACTTAAAATCGTGGTTGCAGATTCGTCTAAATTCTCGATACCACAGATTGGGTGCGGGTTCATGCCTCTTAACATCCGTGAAAATGGGTTCAAAAGAACGTTGCTCACATTGCGAGAATTGCTGCTCGAGGAGCTTTTGAAAGTCTTCGCTAATAAGGAAATGTTCAAGTCAGTTTAAGTTAGTTTACTAAGGGAATGAGGCTCTCGCCCTTGAGCTCCCTATTCATATCGATAAACAGAAATATTATCATCAATTACATTAGCAAATGCGGAAATTCAAAAGTTTTGGTAAGTATGAGCAAGGAGCAAACTGCCGCCGTTAAAACAATCGTGATTTTATGTACAGTAGTTTCTCAGCAAATGAGCATGTAGTATACACTTAAAAGATTCGAGAGTTTCGGAAAGAACCACTGCATCAGGGAGTCCGTTCCATGCTCCAATGACCCTGTGAGAGAGAGCGTTCCGTCGGATATCCGAATGGGCCAGCTTCATCTGCAGTTTGAAGGGATGACCACGCAGACGGTCAGTTCCGGCCAATTCGAAGAATTCATCAAAGTCTAGAGCACATTCACGACGTCTGACAATCCTGCACGTTTCAATGAGATCGCCGCGCAGTTGCCTGTAATTTAGAGGAAAATGATTTAGTTCGCTCGGTCTGATTTCGTGAAGCAGATGATCAAGATTCTTGACCATCTTCGTAGCAATCGCCTGTACTCCTTCCGGTCGTTGATGGTCTTTCTTCAACCGCGGTCGCCAGGCTTGGACTGCATGCACTAATTGAGACCGAACGAATGCCCTATAGGTTTTTCCGAACGGCTCTTTAACGATCTGCACAAATCCTCGCCTCGGCGCAAATAACACCCTTATCGCGCTTTCGGCTGCCCTTCGACACTGTGATGATGGTTCCAGCGAGGAGATCTTAGAACGCCGAGGTCTTTCTATTCCACAACATTTGAAAGGGAATGACGACCCTGTACGCAGTGAAAGGAATCCTCCTCCATTGTGGTTTTTTGGTACGGAGTCTCAGGACCACACATTTGTCCACATTAAAATAAAACAGCCAACGAGCTGACTAGCTGCTCAGGTGGTTGAGACTGTCTCGAAGCGCGTTCCTGTCTGTGTCAGAGCAGATGGTTCTCCACAACTTTACATCGTCAACAAACATGATGGCGCTGCATCCCAGGTCGTCGGCGCAGTCGTTAATGCAAACCAAAAATAGCAACGGTCCTAAGACGGAGCCCTGGGATACACCACTTAGAACGGGGGAATGAGTTGGCCTTGACGCCTCAACACACACGATTTATGATCTCCCTCTAAGAAAATCTGTTATCCATGTCAGCAGCCTTCCTCTTATCCCAATTTCAGAAAATTTGTAGATTAGGCGTTTGTGTGGGACGCTGTCGAACGCCGTCTTGAAGTCCGTGTAGATGACATCGACCCTATCATCATCGTCCAGTGCGCGAGTCCACTGCTCCGTCGAGAGCAATAAACTGGAAAGGCACGAGCGGTTCTGTCTGAAGCCGTGCTGCAGGTCTGAGAGTAAGTGGTTCTTCTCCAGGAACTTCATTGTTGCTTTCTTAACTATGGTCTCCATTATTTTAAAGCAGATGCCGGTGAGACTAACAGGCTGGTAATTTGGAGCATCAGTGCGATTCCCGCCCTTGTATATCGGAAAGATGTTTGCTGTCTTCGATTCCGATGACAGCCTCCCTGATTCGAATGACGAGCAAAATATGTGTGCTAGTGGTTTAGAGAGTTCATTTGCCACTTCTTTTAAGAATTTGGTCGGTATATTGTTTGGACCCGAGGGCTATGTTTTTTTGAGATTTTGCAGTTCCCTTTCCAAGACGGCGGTCGGGAAAGGTATGGAGTCAAGCAGAGAACCAGCGGTCTCAAAAGCATTGCTGGCACTGCAACTACGAAATTCTGTTTCTCTATTAAAAGCCAAGGCAAAATACCCTCCTTAATGTTCGGCTTTCCCGCTGTTCTCAAGAATTTCTCCACCATATCATCCCTCAGCTCTGCGACCCGGTACTTGTTTTTCAGTCAACTGTTAACTGTCAACTGCTGCTCCGCTGATATGCCAGGCAATGCATGTTTTTTTACAAATAGTGCAAACCAATGATTGGAAACTTAAGTAAAAGTCATCACGTTCTGCAAACCGAACAGATAGTGCGACATCCATCAGAAATATTTGGTTTGACCGGTTCATTCGCCGGGCTTTTGAAGTTGGCCTGTGTCCGTAGTGTCTGTTCTGCGATGAACTGCTCAACGACGTCGCGGAACGTCACCTGCCCTTTATTGGTTCTCATTTCGGTTTTCTGATTGGCGGAGTCAGTCAGCTGATTGGCCTTGTGCCTTGCCGTTGATTGGTGGGAGCCCGTCAGCTGATTGGGCAGGCTTTCTATGCGCGGGTATTTGAATTTGTCAAGGTCACAACACGTTATAGGAGCAATGGCGGCAGGCGACGTTGCTGTTGAGGCTTTCCAAAGACTTCTCCATGGACAAAAATTCCCTTCGTTTAGGGAATTGGATGAGGCGATCTCACGGTTTAGTGAGGTAACTGGTGTTTCTGTTTGCGATGACCAAGTTTAGGAAACTGGCTACCATTTTAAGCCAGTTAATTCCCACAAATTCATCGCCGGCAGCCCTGAGGCCGAGACATTTGTGTTTTCCAGCCGCAAATACGTTTGCGTCCTGGCTTCAACTCGAAAGTACGTTTGCATTAACTTTGGTAAATCAGCGACTGCGCAGGCGCGTGGGCTGTGATGCGTTTTTTAACATTGGGCATCGCAAGGCGGGCTACCTTGCCGTAACGTCGTTTAAGGCAGAGCACGGACATGAGCCCGTGCCCGTGGAACCCCAG